ATGAGAAGCAATAATCTAGTATTTTGTACCTTACTTGTCAAGTGATCAAGTCAGACACTCTGTCCAGATGTATTTCTCTGTCCCCTCTGCAAAAAAAATGTATTGGCAGAAGAGCGTTGATGTTTAAATCCCCAGCAGACTTGACCTGCTGCTGTTAGACCATCATATGTTTCAGCCTCATCATCTCACTCTCAGCTGCTCTGCTCTTGTTATTGATGAAACTGATCTATTAGACACTACTGTCTCTCAAACTGTAATGATTGTATGTATTACGTCATGAATTTTACTTAACAGACTGTACAGGTTTCTCCTTGTTTGTAATGCTTTGCTTTCTGTTATTTTGTTCATGTTGCTTTTGTCGGGACCCCCTTGAAAACGTGATGGTGCATCTCAAGGGGTTCATCCTAATGAATACATGTATATAATCAGAGCCTCGGGAGTCAAGTGGCTTGGTTCCTTTTCTTGCAAGTAACTCTAAATATATTACTGCTTACATTTTAGTTTTTTAGCAGGAGCTCCAACAAGCCGTGTAGGACAGAGAGAATACACACACTATACAGAGATGCTGTGAGAAACCAATGTGAGTTTGGAACATTGAACAATGTAAATCTATTCTAGTAGACTCAACAATGGAATTATGATCAGTAGAAATGGCCATGACATGGGACCTTTAACATATTTTTCTCCTTTAACCTTGTATAATGTCTGTAATATAATATAATCACAGATAATTAATACCGGTATTGGTCATGACAGTCTTGATTAGAAGATGGTTATTCTGACCAAACTGCTGTGTGTGTTGGATTTCAGTTGGTTACAATAAATGTAGTTTTCACTGAAGACAACAGAATGAAAACGATGCAACACAGCTCCTGCAGCATCCGTCCATCTGTTCCATACACGATTAATTACAATTCAGGTGCCAGTCAATGCTATCCATCAGTGCATAATGATTTGTTTTCTGTCAAGGCAACCAGAAACCCCAGACTGCAGCGTGTGCAGAACCTCGAGCCTGCCATCTAGCTCACATATTCTCTCTCCGCTGAAAGACAAGCCCTGGATTTGCAGCAAAAACAAAACCTGGTGTTCGATCCTCTCAAGAAATATGGTTGGATTTTGGCTCAAGTGGAGAAAGCTAGAAACTCAGTTCAACAAAGTGTAAGGCCAGTAATGACATGCAAGGAGGTAAACACGTTGTTTTTTAGCTTTTAAGGTTATTTGTTATAGCAATAAACCTGATTCTGAAGACAATGCTCAAGATACAACCGTTCACTCAGTAATTAAACCTTGGTGATGTGAACTGTTCAATAAACATCCTTGTAAACTGCACCAAAGGACCGGAAAGCATCTGTTGTGTGTCTGCGTCTGGATCACTCATAATCCTGTGAATAGCACATAAACAAATACAGGACATTGGAATAACAAAGTTGCCATTAAAATCTGTTTCAGAGCCAAGACTGCAGAGACGAAGGAGATCCTGATCGAGATCCAGATCGAGATCCTGATCGAGATCCAGATCGAGATACTGCAGACTTCTTGGAGGAAAATCTCAGTTTAGGGAAAAGGAGGAGAGAGAACAGAGGAGACAGATGTTGTGACCCAGACTGCAGGAGGAGACATCTCATGAGTGTCCCCTCAGGGCTTCAAACGAGAGTCAGCAGAACCAGGTGGAAGAGCAGGAAGTGGAAGGGGACATGAAGCGGGACAGGCGTGATGGACGGGAGCATTCATCTGGAGCAGGAGGCGGAAAACAAGACATCATGTGAAGAATCCCATCCACATTCCAAACAAAACAAAATATATTCACAATAACTTTCAAGGCTTTTATTCTCATAGCTACAGTGCTAAATGTCGATGAACATCTTCGTTGACAGGCTCTTCCAACAATGCAACACAATAAAACAGATACAACTGATCAGAAGCAGAAAAGAGCAATCGGACAATCCCTACAGTTTTCATGTTAAAAACTGTATAAAGATTCCAGTTTCATTTCAGTAAAGGTGTTTGATTACAAACATTTCCCTCCATTGCATTATTGGTCCCAAAGCTAGTCCCATTAACAACTTGAATGTTATAAAACAAATTCACTGACATTGCTTTCACCTCATTTCCCAGACACGATGAAGGTATTTGCAAAACACAGACTTTAGCTTAGCTTTAGCCATTGTTAGCCATTTAGCTTTAGCCATTGTTAGCCATTTAGCTTTAGCCATTGTTTCTTAATAAAACATATGTAATGCTGGGCTAAATATGATACAAACATTTCCCCTTTTTCTCAGTTCTTTCTTTCTTAAAATATAAACTGAACCCAGGTTAAGATTGATCAGATGTCTCGATCTTAAGTTATCAGAGAAACATGCCGAGTTACCGTGAGTGGAGGTATCCGAACAGCATCAGAGAAAACATGAAACTGCTTAATTCAGTTTAAATACTGGTTTTAATCACATGGTCTGTTTGGATATGAGGATACCCTTAAAGATACATCGGCTCCTAAACACCACTTCAAAGTCTGAATCCTAAATTAACCAACCCAGTCTCACCACTGCTTTCCTTCTCCCCATACATAACTTTAATACCAGACATAATGATTACACGTCACTACGCAAGTGATGTACATGAGACTGAATGTGTGTAAGAGAGGAGAGCATGATGCAGGCCATCATCTGAAACTAAATGATGTCCCCCGGCATCTCTTAATGAGTACAAGGAGGGTCAAAATCAGGTTTATTAAACTCCGAACCCCAACAGATGTCCAAAATAATTACTATAATCTGTTACCAGAAGACAAAAATAGGTGATCTTAAAATATTTTTTGCATTATTAATGGACTGCTGTAGTAGAATCGTGAAACCTCAATTAGTACTGCGGATATTAGAAAAGGATCAAATGACCTTTTTACTCTCATCCTGATTCAAAGGTAAAAAAATATGGTTTTGATGGACTGGAATCCTAATGGCTGGTGTTGCTTTACAGGGAACATCTGATTGGGTGGATCTGAAGCTGAACATGCACTTATTTGCTCTTCTTAACGAGTAGATGAGAAGACACATATGAAGTCAGCTCCACACTGCTCTCCAACATCCTCATTAATACACTGAACAAACTGTTATTATTATTATTATATTTTGATGCTAAAACCTTTGTACTTTTACTTGAGGAACATTTTGAATGTAGGACTTTTACTGTAACAGAGTATTCCTGCACTCTGGTACTTCTACTTTTACTAAGTACAATATCTGAGTACTTGTACTTTTACTCAAGTACAAGATCTGAGTACTTGTACTTTTACTCAATTACAAGATCTGAGTACTTCTACTTTTACTCAAGTACAAGATCTGAGTACTTCTACTTTTACTCAATTACAAGATCTGAGTACTTGTACTTTTACTCAAGTACAACATCTGAGTACTTTTACTCAAGTACAACATCTGAGTATTTCTACTTTTATTCAATTACAAGATCTGAGTACTTCTACTTTTACTCAAGTACAAGATCTGAGTACTTCTACTTTTACTCAAGTACAAGATCTGAGTACTTCTACTTTTACTCAAGTACAAGATCTGAGTACTTCTACTTTTACTCAATTACAAGATCTGAGTACTTCTACTCAATTACAAGGTCTGAGTACTTCTACTTTTACTCAAGTACAAGATCTGAGTACTTCTACTTTTACTCAAGTACAAGATCTGAGTACTTCTACTTTTACTCAATTACAAGATCTGAGTACTTCTACTTTTACTCAAGTACAAGATCTGAGTACTTCTACTTTTACTCAAGTACAAGATCTGAGTACTTCTACTTTTACTCAAGTACAAGATCTGAGTACTTCTACTTTTACTCAAGAACAAGATCTGAGTACTTCTACTTTTACTCAAGTACAAGATCTGAGTACTTCTACTTTTACTCAAGTACAAGATCTGAGTACTTCTACTTTTACTCAATTACAAGATCTGAGTACTTCTACTCAATTACAAGGTCTGAGTACTTCTACTTTTACTCAAGTACAAGATCTGAGTACTTCTACTTTTACTCAAGTACAAGATCTGAGTACTTCTACTTTTTACTCAAGTACAAGATCTGAGTACTTCTACTTTTACTCAAGAACAAGATCTGAGTACTTCTACTTTTACTCAAGTACAAGATCTGAGTACTTCTACTTTTACTCAATTACAAGATCTGAGTACTTCTACTTTTACTCAAGTACAAGATCTGAGTACTTCTACTTTTACTCAAGTACAAGATCTGAGTACTTCTACTTTTACTCAAGTACAAGATCTGAGTACTTCCACTTTTACTCAAGTACCAGATCTGAGTACTTCCCACCTCTGGGTTTATTTTGGAAGACTTAGCACATTTAAAGTTCAATGTTAACACAAATAAATTGAAATGGTTGTACGTGCTATAACTATTTATTCTACTGTCATGTTTTATTAAAAAATATCTGCACACATTATTAAAATAAAATTAATGTATTTCTCAATCCCAGAAAACCAATTGTGTCAAAGATGCACAATACAAATAAAACACATTTTAATAAGTTTGATTTCTTTGATCCAGTATACTTCCTTTTGGATGTGCATACCTGAAAACCCGCGTTCGTTTCGAATGAAAACACTTTAATGTATTATGTAAAGATCAGTTTATTTTTGATAAAGCGACGAAGCAAGTATTTCTTAGGTCTGCTTTATTGGTTTTACAAAACAGACCAGAGGGGCGGATTTACAGACCTATTTTATGTCGTAGAACAAAACATGAAAATATCTTCATCTTGAGTGAACCACAGACCGTATTTCAATGTTTATTTATAGCCCAATATCACAAATGTTACATTTGTCTCAGTGGACTTCACAGTTTGTACAGAATATCAGTATGACAATATGACCCTCTGTCCTTAGACCCTCTGTCCTCAGACCCTCTGTCCTTAGACCCTCTGTCCTTAGACCCTCACATCGTACAAGGAAACACTTCCAGAGAAACCCACAGTTTAAAGGGAACATGGGAGAAACCTCAGGGAGAGCAACAGAGGAGGGATCCCTCTCCCAGGACGGACATACGTGCAATAGATGCCGTGTGTAAATTGAAAAGATAATACATTTGCAACATAGGTAGTCCAAATGTTTGGATAATTCAGGCATCTAACCAAAAATCACATCCAATGAAAAGACGTTTAATTTAAGACAAGGAAACCTGTGTGTGTGTGTGTGTGTGTGTGTGTGTGTGTGTGTGTGTGTGTGTGTGTGTGTGTGTGTGTGTGTGTGATACAATATGTCAGTGGAAATGGTGTTAACCACAGACCTTATTTCAGACATCTAACCAAAAATCACATCTAATAAAAAAATGCTGAATTTAAGACAAGGAAACCTCCGGAAATGATAACATTCTAACTAATCTCCGGTCTTTAGTTCTCATCCCTGAGGAAAAGTGGACCTTACATGAGCACCAGAACCACCATCAGTGCACTGAGGAGGCTGCTGAGCATGGTGAAGTCCTGAATCCCCCCTGCTGAGTTCCCTGCGTGAGTGAAGGTGGTCTGCAGAGCGGGGGCCACAGTTTGCGCCTGGCAGTGCCTCAGGTCGGCTCCCACACAGGCAGCGTAGGCCATGGCGTGGGCGATGTAGTTCTGCTCCTGGACGCCCTGGAAGAGGTGGGCCATGGGTCCGCGAGCCAGAACCGCCACGTCCTCCCCGCTGTGAGTGGCCGAATCTGTGGGGACTGCCGCCATCTGAACGTAGTCCTTAGTTTCTGGAGAAAAAGATGGAACGGTTTATAATTTAGCTGCCCTCAAGTGGCAGAAAGAAACAGCTTTAAAAGGTCCCATCAATATATTATAGGTCTTAGATATATCCAGAGCCTGTCTCTGATTGGCTGAAACACCAAGCAGATCATTGCAGCATTACATGTTGATGTAGAAGAGACATGAAGAAGAGGGGACACATGTTGATGTAGAAGAGACATGAAGAAGAGGGGACACATGTTGATGTAGAAGAGACATGAAGAAGAGGGGACACATGTTGATGTAGAAGAGACATGAAGAAGAGGGGACACATGTTGATGTAGAAGAGACATGAAGAAGAGGGGACACATGTTGATGTAGAAGAGACATGAAGAAGAGGGGACACATGGTGATGTAGAAGAGACATGAAGAAGAGGGGACACATGTTGATGTAGAAGAGACATGAAGAAGAGGGGACACATGTTGATGTAGAAGAGACATGAAGAAGAGGGGACACATGTTGATGTAGAAGAGACATGGAGAAGAGGGGACACATGTTGATGTAGAAGAGACATGAAGAAGAGGGGACACATGTTGATGTAGAAGAGACATGAAGAAGAGGATTTTGCATAATAGTTGACCTTTAAGGGGGATTTGATGCTTTGATCAATCAATCAAAGTTAATATAGCCCTATAGCAAACATTAATAATTATTGTTGTTATTTATTCTTGTTGTACTCTTGGTTGTTTTATTTTATTTTGTATATCTATTAAGTATCTTTTATGGATGTCATTTGCTGTATTTTGGAGTATAGAGTGCTGCTGTTAGTTATATGTGAAAACTCCCCAAAAAATATTTGAATAATAATAAAAGTGGCAGTAGTGAAAATACTCAGGTTCAAGTACAAGTATGTCAAATGTGTACTTAAATACAATACTAAATGTACTTTGTTACATTTGACTACTAGAAGAGAGCATTTCAGAACAGACAAGGGAATGACCTTTACATTTACCCTGCTGTGTTTAGGTCTTTGTTTAATACACGCTGACATTTCCTTATAATACAATCAGCTGTACTTTCGCTCTCGCTGACATTTCTCCTAATTTAATTTCTTTATAAACCAAGAAACAAAATGTCAGTTCAGTTAAGATAATAGAATCACAAGAAGACATGTACACTGGAAGAAGTATGTATTCAAAGTATTCACATTGACGATGAAAGTGTCCTATCGTAATTTCAGCGTTAGTAAGAAATATTCAATCACACTTCGACTGGGGGAAATATCATGAAATACTTATTTTGCAGTGCTTTTGCAAATATAGTTGCCCTGTCCACAGTTTTACAGAGTCAACAGACGTCTCTTTAACAATGGTGGTCTATGGGGAAATGCTTTTTGGGCTGCAGGTGTTTATTCACGACATTAGAGCGGTGCAGGGATGACGTGTTTACCCGGAAGTAAGCTGCCGGTTCCCTCGACACAAAGCGATGGGATTTCTCCACAGGACTTTGAAAAATAGCTGGAAATAATGTCTGTGGAAAACGAACCTGTTTGATAAATGCACGTTTTGTTCAGCCGGATAATCTCCACATGTCTACCCTACTTTTATAATGTTCTAATCATAAATCTAATGTCCAGAAGCTAAATGCTAACGTTATGCTATAAAGGAACTACAGCCGAGTCCAGCAGCACGAGTCCAGCAGCACGACTTCAATGTCACGCCGACTTAAAATCCATATTCAAACACACAGACTCTAAATGGTACGAGTTGAAGCGTTTGTTTGAACAGTCTGCAGGAGGCAGGGACTTGCTTTCAAGCAGAACAGAAACTAACTTAGAGGAGTGTTCACGTGTTCGGCGTAATGACGTACAACGACCTCCACGACTTCTGTAGTCCAATTCAGCCACTTGGTAACAACCATCGTTTCTCAGACACGTCAACTCTTCAGAAATCACCAGTGGGGTCACTGCTGATGATTTAATGTCCTAGAACAAAACGTGATCCGTGTCTTCAATGTGTCTCAACCACAGACCTTAGTTCAGCTACTTTCCTAAACCCTATGGAGAGATCCCATTGGCTCTGAGACCAGGGAACAGGAAGTGGTAAAATGCTGACTCACTTCCTGGTTTTAGGACTCGTTCCTGCACCACTCTATGGCCCAATCCCAAACCGCCCCCTACACCCTACCCCTCCGTTTGCCCGTTCACGCGGAGGGTCCGCCATATTGAGGGCTTTTCCAAAGCAACGAGTGTGGAGCGGTGTGGAGGGGGCTTGAGACTGGTCTCTACCTGACCGGAGTCACGCTGTGTGTGTCCGTCAGGAAACACGCTGTTAACAAGTAGTTCCAGCAAACATCCACTGATAAACTGCGATGTTAACAACCTCATGATAACCTCATATGTTTTAACTTAGGATCAAACCTGTGTTTAGTCTAGAAAAAGATAAATGTGTGCATTTTATTATAAAGTTGTGTATATTTACAGACCCTGGGCGCCTCCCTAGGGAGGTGTTCCAGGCACGTCCAGCTGGGAAGAGACCAAGGGGTAGACCTAGGACCAGGTGGAGGGATTATATCTCTTCGCTGGCCTGGGAGCGCCTTGGGATCCCCCAGTCAGAGCTGGTTGATGTCGCCAGGGAAAAGAAAGTTTGGGGCTCTCTGCTGGAACTGCTACCCACGAGACCCGACCACGGATAAGCAGGAGAAGATGGATGGATGGATATTTACAGGCCGTTGCAAAAACTAAGAAGCTTATAAACATCAGGTTTAAAACTAAAAGAGCGTTGAAACACAATGAAAGATGTTTGGAGTTTTATTTGAGTTATTCATTTAAACCTTTTGTCTAAGAGATGCTGATTTGAAACCGTTGTTACATACAGTTACGGCATTTCCTGTTTCTGCCGGAGAGAGGGGAGGCCGTCCCAAAGCTTGCTGCTGTATTTACTCCCTCCATCTGACAGGAGGGAGCCTCGTTGAGCTGCGAGTGTGGCTACAGACGGAGTTCACTCCATCACGGAGGGGGAGGGTCGAGGGGGTGGTTTGGGATTGGGCCTCAATGTTATTGTTACTGGACAAATTAGGAATCAAGGCGGATCCAGGTCTTATTGTACATCCCTGATCTCAACCTTCTGTTTTACCTGGCTTGAGAAGTATAAGTACTTTAATCTGTACTGTGTGTTTTCAGACTTGATAAAATAAGATAAGATAAGATGACTTTATTGATCCCAAATTGGGAAATGTTTGCGTTGCAGCAGCATAAAAAACAACAAAACAAAACAAGGCTTTGAATAAGATGCAAAGAAGTAAACATGATATTCTCGAGAGGAAAACAAATATCTTACTGGTGTCCACGTTACGGAGGTCTGGCCGTTTGCCGTTGGTGAGTTTGTGTCCGGGTCCGTTTCCGTACATCAGCGTGGTGTAGGGCAGCATGTCCTGGGCCCACAGCGGAGATTTACCTGGAGAGAAAACACAGACAACAAACCTTGATTAATATTATCCTTCTGGCAGAACTGGGAATTTGTCACTTTGTCAACTAAATGAAACAAAATATATCTTTATTGTTTTAAAATACTTTTATAAAAAACAAGAATTAGTCATTTTTGTTTCATTATTGTTTAATTTGTTTTTGTTGCATTAGTGTGTGTGTGTGTGTGTGTGTGTGTGCATGTGCCTGCATGTGTGTGTGTGTGTGTGTGTGTGTGTGTGTGTGTGTGTGTGTGTGTGTGTGTGTGTGTGTGTGTGTGTGTGTGTGTGTGCTTATTTTAAAGAAGAATAATTTGTCCTGGTAACATTTTATGCAATGTGTCAGTGTAAATGTTTTTTAACAATACAATTGTGTTACCTACTTTAAAAACAAGGGACTATTTTTGTTTAATTAATGAATGCATGCTTGTGATATCTGCAAACTTCTTTGAGTTTTTAGAAACGTTTAAAATAAATGCATTTTTATTATATTCAGACACATGTTGACCTGTAGCGTACGGTTCCCTTCTCCAGCTTTTTTATTTATAACATCGTTTTGTAAATAGGACACATTTCTTCTAAGTACACGTCTTTAATCACCCTGAACATATTAAAGCCTTGGAGGACGCAGACACCCCGACAGGCTTAGCCTAAATATCCCGTCACAATAGAAATGTAATGAGCAGAAACTGAACGAAGTGTGGAACAGCATTCGGCTTTAACATCAGATTGAGTGCTTAATGGATCAAAACTGTTACTGTTATTACTATAATTACACTATTGCCATTTTAAATACATAATAATCTGCAATCCGACAGCTATAAAGGTACGAAATTGTCCAAAGCTAACAGATGTCACAATGAGACTTCCTGGGTTTATTACTTATATTAAGATTAAGATTGATTTGTCCAATTAAATATGGTAAGGGTTGAAGTCTTCAGGTAAAGGAGAGGGAAGAGTGCCGGAGAGGAGAGAGAGAGCCCAAGACAAAGGTGTAAGGAGTAAAAAAATCGATATGTAGACGCGATAAAGAGAGATTAACAGGCGGTTTGATTGTTAAATGGATCAAAACTGTCACTGTAATTACTATAATTATACTATTCCCATTTGAAAGACATACACATAATAATCCTTATACCTACAGCTATAGAGGTACACAATTGTCCAACCCTTAAATGTGTCCTACAACTAACAGATGTCACAATGAAACTTCCTGGGTTTATTACTTATATTAACATTAAGATTGAAATATGCAAATGAGGCATTGTCTAATTAAATGTGGTAAGAGTTGAAGTCTTCAGGTAAAGGAGAGGGAAGAGTGCCGGAGAGGAGACAGAGAGTCCAAGACAAAGGTGTAAGGAGTAAAAAGATCGATATGGAGACGCGATAAAGGGAGATTAACAGGCGAAGAACGACTGATAAAACGAGGAGGATTTAGAGAGACTAATGTGAGGGTGAGAGGGTGAGGAGTCAGAGAGGAGAAGACACACACACACACACACACACACACACACACACACACACACACACACACACACACACACACACACACACACACACACACACACACCTCTATTCACATCACCATCTTTTAAAATATCTGTATCTGGCAAGTATTAGCAAAACATCCTGAAATAAGATATATTATTATAATATACAATTGTATTAGTAAAATTTAGCGAAAATATTTCTAAAATTGCACAAACAAAACATACAAATATCAATGTATAGGATCATTCAAAGTAGTATTAAAAATCCTTCAAAATATAAGAAAACAAGGAAAAATATATATTGGAAAAATTGCAAAAATGTAAGGAAAAAAATAGAATATTTACATTAAATATTCTAAAAAACAAGACATTTAAGTGAAAATTGAAGAAAAATATTTGTAAAATAACAGAAAAAAATACAAGATTAAAGTAAACAATTATTAAATTATCTTGTTTTGGCACAAATGCACACACACACACACACACACACACACACACACACACACACACACCACACACACACACACACACACACACACACACACACACACACACACACACACACACACACACACACACACACACACACACACACACACACACACACACACACACACACACACACACACACACACACACACACACACACACACACACACACACACACACACACACACACACACACACACACGTCATGGAATAAAAACACACCTGGAGAGGGGAATGGGTGGAAGAGTTACGGATGGAAAAGGGGAGAATTTCTCTTGCATCAGAAAACTCACATTACATTACATTACATTTAGCTGACGCTTTTATCCAAAGCGACTTACAATAAGTACATTCGACCAGGAAGACACAACCTTGAAGAAAACAGAATCATAAAGTACATCAGGTTTCATAGAGCCAAACATTTCAAGTGCTACTCAACTGGCTTTAGATAAGCCAGCCTTTATTAGTATATAAGTGCTTTGTTAATAGTTCTATCGCTCGAAGTGGAGTCGAAAGAGATGAGTTTTCAGTTCACATCAATATATTCTAAATGATAACTATGTTTTAAGGCACTTATCGTTACACACTAATGTGTTCATCGCTTTAATGTTGCTGCAGGTAAAGGTGGATTCATTTGAAATAATGTATATACTGCTGGGTAGCTTAAAGTGGTTATTTTATGCTCATTTCCAGGTGTATATCAGTATGTAGTGTCTCTACTTTAAAGAGTCCTCTCCTGCTCATCTTCAGGTGTATATCAGTATGTAGTGTCTCTACTTTAAAGAGTCCTCTCCTGCTGATGTTCAGGTGTATATCAGTATGTAGTGTCTCTACTTTAAAGAGTCCTCTCCTGCTGATGTTCAGGTGTATATCAGTATGTAGTGTCTCTACTTTAAAGAGTCCTCTCCTGCTGATGTTCAGGTGTATATCAGTATGTAGTGTCTCTACTTTAAAGAGTCCTCTCCTGCTGATGTTCAGGTGTATATCAGTATGTAGTGTCTCTACTTTAAAGAGTCCTCTCCTGCTGATGTTCAGGTGTATATCAGTATGTAGTGTCTCTACTTTAAAGAGTCCTCTCCTGCTGATGTTCAGGTGTATATCAGTATGTAGTGTCTCTACTTTAAAGAGTCCTCTCCTGCTGATGTTCAGGTGTATATCAGTATGTAGTGTCTCTACTTTAAAGAGTCCTCTCCTGCTGATGTTCAGGTGTATATCAGTATGTAGTGTCTCTACTTTAAAGAGTCCTCTCCTGCTGATGTTCAGGTGTATATCAGTATGTAGTGTCTCTACTTTAAAGAGTCCTCTCCTGCTGATGTTCAGGTGTATATCAGTATGTAGTGTCTCTACTTTAAAGAGTCCTCTCCTGCTGATGTTCAGGTGTATATCAGTATGTAGTGTCTCTACTTTAAAGAGTCCTCTCCTGCTGATGTTCAGGTGTATATCAGTATGTAGTGTCTCTACTTTAAAGAGTCCTCTCCTGCTGATGTTCAGGTGTATATCAGTATGTAGTGTCTCTACTTTAAAGAGTCCTCTCCTGCTGATGTTCAGGTGTATATCAGTATGTAGTGTCTCTACTTTAAAGAGTCCTCTCCTGCTGATGTTCAGGTGTATATCAGTATGTAGTGTCTCTACTTTAAAGAGTCCTCTCCTGCTGATGTTCAGGTGTATATCAGTATGTAGTGTCTCTACTTTAAAGAGTCCTCTCCTGCTAATGTTCAGGTGTATATCAGTATGTAGTGTCTCTACTTTAAAGAGTCCTCTCCTGCTGATGTTCAGGTGTATATCAGTATGTAGTGTCTCTACTTTAAAGAGTCCTCTCCTGCTGATGTTCAGGTGTATATCAGTATGTAGTGTCTCTACTTTAAAGAGTCCTCTCCTGCTGATGTTCAGGTGTATATCAGCATGTTAGTGTCTCTACTTTAAAGAGTCCTCTCATGCTGATGTTCAGGTGTATATCAGTATGTTAGTGTCTCTACTTTAAAGAGTCCTCTCCTGCTGATGTTCAGGTGTATATCAGTATGTAGTGTCTCTACTTTAAAGAGTCCTCTCCTGCTGATGTTCAGGTGTATTTCAGTATGTAGTGTCTCTACTTTAAAGAGTCCTCTCCTGCTGATGTTCAGGTGTATATCAGTATGTAGTGTCTCTACTTTAAAGAGTCCTCTCCTGCTGATGTTCAGGTGTATATCAGTATGTAGTGTCTCTACTTTAAAGAGTTCTCTCCTGTTGATGTTCAGGTGTATATCAGTATGTAGTGTCTCTACTTTAAAGAGTCCTCTCCTGCTGATGTTCAGGTGTATATCAGTATGTAGTGTCTCTACTTTAAAGAGTCCTCTCCTGCTAATGTTCAGGTGTATATCAGTATGTAGTGTCTCTACTTTAAAGAGTCCTCTCCTGCTGATGTTCAGGTGTATATCAACATGTTAGTGTCTCTACTTTAAAGAGTCCTCTCCTGCTGATGTTCAGGTGTATATCAGTATGTAGTGTCTCTACTTTAAAGAGTCTCCTAATCCACTAACCCCTTGCCCCTATACTACCTAGCTTAGCACTTTTTACTTTTGTTGTTATTTGTCTTCTTTACTTGCTTGTAATGCCATTGAGCACCAGGAAAGCGCTATATAATTAAATAACATGTCATATTTAAAATAAATACTTTGGTACAGTACAAAGTAGCCTACTTGGTTAAACTCCACTACTGCAGGTTTCAGGAAGTCGTGTCATAATTACCCAGAATGCTCTGCCCTCTGAATGGGTATCCGTTGAAGGTGAAAGGGTGTGAGTGGTCGGCCATCACCACAGTGAGAGTCTCTTCCTCGTTGGTGAGTTCAAGGCCCTTTGCGATGGCGTAATCGAGAGCTACCGCCTCATGGAGCGCCATGGAGGCCCGTCCGGCGTGATGAGCCTGGTCGATACGCCCCCCTGAACACAGAGAGGATTGTGGGTAATAGCTTCTGGTACAGCTGGTGTAGTTGTTATTAATGTATCCGATTAAATTAGTCAGAATCAGGTACACATTAAAGCAATTGACTTGATGTAAGGATGTAAACAGTAGCAGATATATAACAACCGCTAAGCTAAAGGTGGCTAATGTTGGGCTATAAAGGAACTACAGCACGGTCACATAAATTCACGTCGCCACGGCTAAGCTAAAGGTGGCTAATGTTCAGCGTGATGAAGTTAAGCAGTCTTATTAATTAAGAAACTTGCCGTTTTTAAATTCACCAGTGGGGTATTTACTGGCATATTTCTTGTTGTCGAACAAAACTGTCAAATCTATTGTGCTTGTGTTAACCACAGACCTTATTTCTAACCAAAAAACACATTTTAAATACCATTTGTGGGGGAAACTTCGGTGTAGCAATGCAGTGGGAGTCACCGACTCAGGAAGGAGACATGGGGAGAGCTGGAGCTTTGATGTCAAACACTGATTGTTTATTTAGGAGCTTCGGCCGGAGAATTCACAAAACAAATCTGGAGTCAGAGGTTCTGATTTCACGGTAGAGTTGCCACGTCAATTCTGAAGAGCCTCTCTCTCGATAGACCTTTTAACTGGTTCACAGAGAGTAATCAACATATCTGGGGGGATAGACTAAACAGCAGGGAACACTGAATCACTTGCGTCCGACGCTTATGGCCTCGAAGATTTCACACCTTGGTGTCCACAAACCCCAAGAAGGAAGTGTTCCAGCGTACCCACAACAATAAACCATTTGTGACCGAGAGTTGCCCGGTCATAAACTGGTAACAACAACATATGGATGAAGCAGCCCTTTCCTTTAGGGAGATAACAGACGCCAGGGTCGGTCATAAATGTCAAAGGGCAAAAGGTGGATATCTAGGAGAATTATTCCCTAACACCAATGACTTCTAGACGAAGGAACAGGAAGTGCTTAAATCTTGCCTCATTTCTGGGCTTTAGGACTCATTCCTGCTCCACTATAGGAAAAGGGGACCTATACAGATAAATCTCCTGCATTTCCCTTCTCTCCTGGATGGTGAAGTTGACGCTGGTTAATACGTTGTGAGCTGTCAGAGATTGGGAGCACCATATGCCTGCTTCTATTTATACATGTATTTTAGAGAGTCATTGTGAAGACACTCAGTCCCCGGGCGACTGCCTCAGATTAAAGGAGAGATGGATGAGGAGGCCGCAGTGAGGTGAGGCAAACACATCACACACCTCACTTTAGCACACACACACACACACACACACACACACACACACACACACACACACACACACACACACACACACACACACACACACACACACACACACACACACACACACACACACACACACACACACACACACACACACACACACACACACACACACTGCGGCAAATTCATTGAGCTGTGTGCAGAATCAATGTCAAGTCACCACCTCGGCTGCAGGTACACATCATTCTCCAAAGTAGTGCATTGTGGGTGTTGAATAAACTCAATAGGCCAACTCTATCACATGTACATATATTAAGCAAGCTACAAACAATTACCAGTTGTGTGTTTTAATTGCCAATTAGGGTCTCTTTGTGATTATAACACTGTAGATCTAAACTGTGACTGTAAACCTGTGCAGTTATCTAACCGTGCAATATCACTCAGGATTATAACTGTATTACACTTTACGATTAGAGTTAGCGCCATCTTGTAAACGTCACATTACTCATACTATATCTTTCTAGAAAAACCACCGGTAATAATCATCATTGATTTCTTTATTGATACTAACATATACCTACAGTAATATACCACTGTATTTATTGTAATAAACACATTTTTAATTAACGTCTAATGTTAATATTCATATATTTTTCTATTTTATTTGATATTTTATTGCACATTTTTACTTTAACTTCTTATGATTATATAGATATTATTATTCTATTTGATTTGTATTGCACATTTTTACTTATGATTTAAATATTTTATTTTATCTTTGTATTAGTCTTGTGTATATACATATTTATATTCAATATTATCCTGTGTTTGATCTTCTTTTTTGCACATTTCACGCATTTTTTTGTATAATTTGTTTTAGTATTCTGCAAACGAGCAACCGTCACAATACCTAATTTCCCGCGGGATAAATAAAGCATCCTGATTCTGAATCAGTGACTGAATTGATCCAACTGGACCAGCAAAGTGGTTTCTTTGTGCTGTTTTCAACCGATTCGTCGTCTCTCTGGGGATTTCATTATCCAACCGTTGACGGATAATGTGACAGCGAGTGTGTGCAGAGTGTTTTCCTCACTGTTGGGAGAATACTGAATGTTCTTTCTATATCAGAGTAGCATGTGATAACAGAGGCCCTACGTAGCTGTGTACATAGCCGGATGTATGACTACATGGATGACGCTCAACACTGTGTTGAAGTTAGGATGTTCCTAAGATTGGCATGATGACACAGCCCTATAGAGATAGGCATATGACTGTCATGTGTATTTCTTATGCAGGCCTTAGCTAATCTTTGAACCAGTATTTTTCCATCTTGTTGACTGTAACACCCTCTCTTGTATATAAGCATATCAAGGAGTCTACTCTGGGAACTATTTGTCCCACGCAGCCCTGTGTGTGATGACTACCTCCATTCTTTCAAGGATAATAAATACATGTATCCTGATATTGAAGACCAAGCCGGTGATGAGTGATATTTTTCTAACACTCACCCTCCACTAAAAGGAAGAAGCCTTTGGGGTTTTTCTGGAGGATGCGGATGGCTTTCTCTGTGGTCTCCACGATGGACGGGTCCATTTTGGGATCCCGTTCTACCTCGAAGCGCAAATCACCGGGTTCAAACAGAGCTGGGGGAGAAAAGGTCAGAAAGAGTCATTTTGGTGTAAAAATAATACAGCTTTTCAGCCCACAGTGGAGGAGTAGCAAAAAGGAAAGTCCCATTTCCCTCCTACTCCTAACACTACAGCTGTTTCCAGAACACATGAAGTGATAAACACAGAGAGAGAGAGAGAGAGAGAGAGAGAGAGAGAGAGAGAGAGAGCACAACAGCTCGATGACTAAATCTCTAACGTTCCTCCACTCCACAGAGAACTGCATATAAAACCTTTAAAAGCTGCACTGGAGGAGGTGTAGGCAAAGAGTGGCAGAGGGAGTATTCAACTTAGCTATATTTATATATCTTTGATACAAAATGTTTGCATGTTTCACTAGCAAAATGTAAAATGCATAGAAAATTATATAAGATCATCAATAGAATTCTGCAAGACGGCCTTTATTTATATATTAAAGGTGGGGTAGGTAATTTATTTCACAAACACTTGTTATATTCCATGGAATGCTCTTAACATCCCGATAGCAATGAACACATTAAGTGCTTTGACAATAAATACATTAAAATTCGTCTGTGGAAGCCGTGGCGCTGTAAAAAGCACGACCAATCATCTGAGCCGGCTAAAATAACTGGATGGCCTACCTGCCTGTCAGCCTTCCATCTGGGCACAAACTTATCTCGTGCCCTCATTGGTCATGTGCGCGTTCGTGTGTGTTGGAGGAGGGGCTCTGGAAGGAAGTGGCAGATTTTTTCCGGTTGTGTATTTTCAAATTCTAGCGCAGACTCTGGTTTCTCCAAAATGACATAATAATATGTTTTAATATTTTAATTTTGTGATTTTGTTGCTGATGTAAATATATATGAAGCAATTGGAGTCAGGACTCAGAGACACGAGGAGAGCTGGAGCTTTGATGGCAAACACTGACGGTTTATTTGGAGCTTCGGCCGGAGAATTCACACAACATGTCACGGGCCACGGGTTGACCACACGGTTGAGATGCCACAATCAATTCTGAAGAACTCTTTCTGTAGCTCGAGGTTTTAACTAGTTCAGAGTGTAATAATCAACATTCTTCATCAGCGAGACTAAACAAATATGGACCCTGAATCTAACTAGAGCTGTCGTCCATAGGAAAGAATGTGCGCCAGGGAACCGACGTCCCTGAACAGTAAACATGGCGTCTTGTGCTCTGTCATAGACTGGCAACAACAATGCGCCCAAGCTGCCCCTCCTTAAGAGAGATAGCAGCAATACCCAAGGCCGTAGACCAGTGACCATCAACTGGCGGCCCACGGGCCAAATCTGGCACGCCAGACATTCTCATCTGGCACGAGCTGAAGCGCTGGCGGAGTGGTTAGTGCGTTTGCCCCCCACTCATTTTTTCTTTTTTACAACGTCTTGTGAGTAATGTGCAGTACCGGAGTCCAAGGCAGCAGCTGCGTAGCCCCCGCTGCGTACTGCGTAGCCTTCCCTGCCCTGAAGAAGAAGTGATCCTTCATTAGCGTGAAGAGTCTGCTTTATGCGCTCCGCAGTAGCCCCGTTGCGAGGCTCCGGCGACTTGACAGTACATGAGCGTGCTCCACTAGCACCCCCCGGCCAACAACTTCAAAATTCAGGGCATATAAAAATAGCTGGCCCCAGAAAGTGTCTCTAGGAATAATTTTGGCCCTTGGACAAATGTAGTTGGTGATCCCTGCCGTAGACCTATGCCACGGGAAAGGAGACAGTGAAAAGAGGAAAACGATGAACTGTGTCAAAGGTTGAATACATAAGCATTATTCCCCAACAGTCTTTCTTTTGCTGATGTAAATTAATGTTTTTATATATATATCACTTTACTTTTTTTAATGTTTTTTTTTTTTAAATGTTCAATATCAGGGTATATGCAGGAATCCTGAATTCAAATGTAAGAACTTTTAAGACCCTTCCCATACATTTTTAGACCTCATCGTCACTTGGAGTTTTAACCGGTTACCTTGGCGACACACTTTACCTCACATTCACTATATATAGTATTGATTGTCCTTCCTCCTTATCTTCCAACCATTTGGACGCAGACTTGCATTTCCCCATAACGATGCTGCTTAGCAACCGGCGTAAACGGACCTTCGCGCTATCAAGCAGTGAGCGTGCGATGTCCTGTTCAGATGACATCAAATCCAACGGGATGCCATCAATAAACTACACAGAATCACACTACACACCTACGCAATGATTACATTCAGGCAGACTGTAGAATACAACCTCTCTGGACCATTTATATACTTATTGAAAACAAGCTACAACATGTAATACCTTGGAAAATGCCGTTTAATACTTTTTAATAGCCTTGATTTTCGCTAAATTGATTTATCAACTTTTAATACTTTTTAAAGACCCCGCGGACCCCCTGGATATATATGTGGGGAAACTTCTGTAGCAATGGAGAGTCAGGACTCAAAGAGACACGAGGAGAACTGGAGCTTTGATGGCAAACACTGACGGTTTATTTGGAGCTTCGGCCGGAGAATTCGCAAGACATGTCAAAGAGCCAGAGGTCTGACCACACGGTTGAGATGCCACGATCAATTCTGAAGAAACCTTCCTCTCGCATGATGTCTTAACTAGTGTTGAGGAGGAGGGTAATCCACATTCTTCTCTAGATAGTCTAAACAGCTGGGGGCACTGAATTACTTTTTGACGCAGTTGACGCTTATGGCCTCGAAGATGTCACACCTTGGAGTCAACAAGCCCCGAGAAGGAAAGGTAAAGTGTGATGTATGTTGCTGTGTTGGAGGAGCCTGGGACTCCCATTGGCACTTTGTGCATAGGAGAAATAAAGCATTTGAGTCTTTGAACCTGTTGTTGGTCACTAAGCACCTTGAAAATATGATTCAGGTGAGATAAAGCAGACGTCACTGCCAGTTAGTCGCACATTAGGGAGTTACAGTTGTGTTTTTATTGCCATCATCGTTTATTTTGGATGTGCAACAACTACGCATTGTTCAACATCAATAATAGAATAATAACTGAGCAAACCAAGGCCACTATGGGCTCCCCCTTGCAGAGAAGAGCATAAGAGGGCAAAAGGAAAGGGTCAACAACAAACAACAACAAACTCACCCATGAGGTAGTCAGTGGTTTCAGGGTCAACAGCACTGAAATCTGTTTGATTCCACACGTAGCGAGCGACCTGAGAGTGGGAGGAGGACGGAGAACCGGTTTGTGTTTGTTTTGAGTCACCGGAGCTTTTTGTTTGTAAGTGTTATAGTAATCTAGATGCCAGCAGTTTGAACCGGGTGTCACAGTCTGCTCCCTCACTCACCTATTTTCTGCATTAGCATTCCTTAGTCACCTGGTAGTCACACCCTGTCTCTCTCTCTCTCACTCTGTTACACCCATCAGCTCCATTAATGTATAGGCCCACTTCACTCTCACCTCAGTGCCAGATCGTACTTTGCAGCATGCCAGTCTTTCCCGCATTACCTTCCAGATTTCTCTCCCGGTTTCGACCTCGTCTGCCCCTGACCAGCCTGCCTCGCCTGTTTCCTGACTCTGCCTGTCCCTGGATTATTCTGCCTTGTCTGCTCCCAGACCCTGCCTGTACAGGTCTGCGTCTCCTGTCTTGCTTACTCCTGGAACCCTCGCCTGTCCCCGACCAGCCCTTTGCCTACAATAAAGCTGGTTACCGACTATCCCTGGTTTACCGTGTGTTGCATTTTGATTCTCAGCTCGTTTGTGACACCGGGAAATGTTGAATACCCCAACGTTTTATCATAGAAATGTATAGTACGGGTCCCCAGAACATAGAAATTGCCGGATGCTAACTTGCCTATGTTGGGCAATTAGCACAATTGTCATAAATTGATTAGCATATGCAGATTATAGCTAAATTATGGTTTGGCCGATTTGTACAATTTTGGAGTGGTTTTGGAGGATGTTGAATCCACTTCTGACATTTCCAGGATCATAAATGGCAGTTTGAGTCCCCTAAAACATTACACTACTACATGTTACTTGTTAGACGCTTTTATCCAAAGCGACTTACATACTCAATACTGTGGGCAATCCCCACAGGAGCAATTTGGGGTGAAGAGTCTCAGGGACACAACGACATGCTGACTGCAGTGGGGTTTGAACCTGCTCCCCTGATCCGAACACCAACGCACAACCCACTGCAAAATGACCCCAAATTAACCAAAATCAGCCAACAGAGAGTACAAATGTGGCCACTTTCTGGTTAAATCTGCCATTTGTGATCCTGAAAATGTCAGAAATAGATTCAACATCCTAAACAACCAAAAACCACACCACAATTGTCCTAATCGACAAATATTTTCTGTCAATTTATGCTAATTGTGCAAATTGTCCATCATATGCAAGTCCCGTATTATACATTTCTAACATAAAACGTTGGGATACTCAACATTTCCAGGTTCACAATAGGACTGCTTGACTTTAAGCTGTCCTCAAAGGCTTTTATTCTCACCTGTTGCTTAAGTTAAGGCAGTTCTCTAAGTTTCTGTGTTTGAAATATAAATATTACCTTTCCGATTTTCATTTTCTGCCACTCATCGATGAGGTTACGTCCGTCTTTCCTTTTGCCCCTGGAGGAGAAATCTGCGGGGTATTCTGGGTCCTTGGTGCCCCTCGGGGTCATGTACTTTCTACCACCTCCAATTATCACCTGGACACACACACACACACACACACACACACACACACACACACCACACACACAACCACACACACACACACACACACACACACACACACACACACACACACACACACACACACACACACACACACACACACACACCACCATCTTTTAAAATATCTGTATCTGGCAAGTATCAGTAAAACATCCTGAAATAAGATATATTATTATAATATACAATTGTATTAGTAAAATTTAGCGAAAATATTTCATAACATACAAATATCAATGTATAGGATCATTCAAAGTAGTATTAAAAATCCTTCAAAATATAAGAAAACAAGGAAAAAAATATATTGGAAAAATTGCAAAAATGTAAGGAAAAAAATAGAATATTTACATTAAATATTCTAAAAAACAAGACATTTAAGTGAAAATTGAAGAAATATATTTGTAAAATAACAGAAAAAAATACAAGATGAAAGTAAACAATTATTAAATGATCTTGTTTTGGCACAAATGCACACATTTGAAGTCATTTCAGTAGTGACTATGATATCCTTACGTCTATATCGGTGTTTTTGAGCATCTGGGAGGCGATGTCTGTGCAGCCGTCCTTCTTGGCGGCTTCGGGCATGTCGGCGTCGCTGTACCACTTCCTGCTGGCGCTGTGGGCGTAGCTGGTGGCCGGCGTGGCGTGCTGCACCCGCGTGGTCGTCACGATGCCCACGGACTTTCCTACAAAATCAAATTGTATCATGATCAATTTAACACAGAACGTGCATCCTGTTGTATGAAGAATAAATAGTAGGGCAGTACGTGGGTCTTGGAAGAAAGCTTTTGTATGTTTTTGTAGCATCTTCTAAAGCCATGTACATGTGTTGTTGTACTTATAACTCCTCTAAATCATACATTTCAAATAAGGAAGAGCCAATTGGATTAATTGACAACGATTTTGAAACCCAATTCGGAAATGTTACCATCTTTACGTTTCTGTGATGTTGTTTTTTTTGGAACACTTGCTCTAGCCAGTATAACCGAGTGCTGAAAAAACATACCATGATGTTACAGTTAACTTTCATGAACTGGAAGCTGAAACTTAGGTACACAAACTGGACAATACTTAAGGAATGATCGGTCCATCGCAAGTTGCCCCTCGTAAAAGATTACAGGGCTTTTTCGTCTTTTGTTTACAAAGTTATAGGACCATCATTTACACAAACAACAAAAATGCTATAGAGAGGCGAAGTCCCTCCCCTTCCGGTGGAGCTCCATGGGACCTTATTTCTGAAAAAGTATGTATTGAAGTCAATGGAGAGAGAAAGATTATCTCTCCATCCCGTTTGAGTTGTGCCACGAATTACACATATGATGTTTGTCAATTTAAAAGATAATTTTGCAAGTCAATTTTTTTTAAATGTGTCGTAAAACTGTGAAGTAACACTTGTTTTTGTGTGAACCGCTCAATGAACTACATCTTCCATCTCACACCACACACCAAGACGGCCGTCACATTGAAACATTTCACTTCTTTCTTTCAGAATGAGGCGGAAAGTATTAAAAGAGGTGAAAATCACTCCAAGTCTGGGCACGTTGAGAGCTGTGCATACACACAAGGGGAGTTAGTCGGTTCCGTAAGAGCCAGCATGCGGGACCGGGACTCTGGGATTTGTAGTCTTTCTAGTTGCGTATTTTTCATAGTCTTATATTTCAACAGTTTTACGACAAACTGTGACTTTTTTTACATGGAAATGATCTTTTAAATTGATAAACATCCTATGTGTAATTCATGGCACAATTCAAACAGGATCCAAAGATAATCTTTCTCTCTCCATTGACTTCAATACAAACTTTTTCCAAAATAAGGTCCTGTGAGTCCCACCGGAAGGGGAGGGACTTCGCCTCTCTATTGAAGAAGACTTGAAACTAGAGATTGAGATCATAAACTCATCGGGAAAATGATTACTGAGGGTATAAGTCAAGTGAGAAGTAGGGTCATTTTCTCCTAGACTTCTATACAATCTGTTGTAGGGACTGGTGGCGCCGTGGTCTGTGCGTTTGATCATCAGATCAAGGGGGCGTTGGGGAACTCCAGTTCGAAACCCGCTCCCGCCCCACTGCGTCAGGCCGTTGTGTCCTTGGTGTACACTTCACCCGAATTTGCTCCTGTGGGTATTGTCCACAGTAGATGGCCATTTCATGTGTAATGTGTATTTGTAAAGCACTTTGATAAATTGCTATAATAAATATAAGGATTAATCTGATTTATGTATTTCTGCAACTAGTGGAGGGTGCCGGACATTAGAGAAAGGGCAGGTTAAAAGCTCTTCTCCATTGACTTTAACTTTCACGTTATAATTGTCGGTCACTGTACTTGTGTCCTTTGAACCCTCCTCTTAGCTCCCCACAACACAAAACAAAATATTGGATCTAAAATGTTGCTGTAACCTTTAAATGGCAGCGTGCGTTTATGACATTATTAACTACCTCATTGGCTTTAATTAATCCGACCCTGAAGGTTTGCTGGATGTTCTAAACAGCACGATCAATATTATCACAAATAAGTCACTTTCCTTATGTAACACACATATACACGTAATGATCTGGGGTCAGGGTCCGGGTGTTGGAGTGTTTTCAGGAGATAACACGGGAACATGATAAGAGTCAAGGTGCTTCACATCACCTGCAGAGAGCTCAGCGGAGACATCTGGATGTATTTTTATTTATTTGATAAGAACAGAGGGATTTAGTTCTGTCTCCTGACAAAAGGAAATCCCTCTGATCTTATCAAGCCTCAGCGAAATAAATAAAAAAAATCCAGATGTCAGGTCCCCGACAAAGAGTCACGAAAAATCCCATTTGTTACTTCAATCACAGCCAACTAGAGGTGGGAGAAGTACTCAGATCTTGTACTTGAGTAAAAGGAGAAGTACTCAGATCTTGTACTTGAGTAAAAGGAGAAGTACTCAGATCTTGTACTTGAGTGAAAGTAGAAGTACTCAGATCTTGTACTTGAGTGAAAGTAGAAGTACTCAGATCTTGTACTTGAGTCAAAGTAGTACTCAGATCTTGTACTTGAGTGAAAGTAGAAGTACTCAGATCTTGTACTTGAGTAAAAGGAGAAGTACTCAGATCTTGTACTTGAGTAAAAGGAGAAGTACTCAGATCTTGTACTTGAGTGAAAGTAGAAGTACTCAGATCTTGTACTTGAGTGAAAGTAGAAGTACTCAGATCTTGTACTTGAGTCAAAGTAGTACTCAGATCTTGTACTTGAGTGAAAGTAGAAGTACTCAGATCTTGTACTTGAGTAAAAGGAGAAGTACTCAGATCTTGTACTTGAGTGAAAGTAGAAGTACTCAGATCTTGTACTTGAGTGAAAGTAGAAGTACTCAGACCTTGTACTTGAGTGAAAGTAGAAGTACTCAGATCTTGTACTTGAGTGAAAGTAGAAGTACTCAGATATTGCACTTGAGCAGAAGTAGAAGTACTCAGATCTTGTACTTGATTAAAAGTAGAAGTACTCAGATCTTGTACTTGAGTGAAAGTACAATAATGTGATTATTATAAATTATAAAACACATTATATAGACGTGGAAAATAATTGACTTTTCCTCCAATGCGCTCAATAGACTGTTCTAGGTCATCACTGTGATAGAGCATCTTCATCATATTGTCTCACAGTGTTTAGGGGCTTGTTTTTAAATAATAATAATAATAATAATAATAATAATAACTGTTTCTATTGTCTCACCGGCGTCTTTCGCCCACTTCAGGATGGACGTCACTTCGTTTCCTCTCTGAGTCTTGCAGGCTCCGTTGCGAGCGGCGGCACTGACCCCGATGGTGTTCAGGTTGGTCTTCACTCCACAGAGGTACGCTGTGGCTGTAGCTGCACTGTCAGCTATCTGGAAGTCCACACTGTAGGTCTGCACACACACACACACACACACACACACACACACACACACACACACACACACACACACACACACACACACACACACACACACACACACACACACACACACACACACACACACCACACACACACACACACACACACACACACACACACACACACACACACACACACACACACACACACACACAACACACACACACACACACACACACACACACACACATAGACACACACACACCCACACATATACACACACACATAGACACACAGGCACATATACACACACACACACACACACACACAGACACACACACACATATATACACACACACGCACAAACACACATTTATATACACACACACGTAATATATTAATATAATATAGTGTTGGACCAAATGTACAGTGTGAGCAAATGAGTGAAATAAGAATTGACTTGAATTTGACAATATAAGATCATTTCAAGCGACATTTGAGCGTGTGTGTGTGTGTGTGTGTGTGTGTGTGTGTGTGTGTACCTTAGCTAGCCCCACATTAGGGAAAGTGTCCATGGTCATCACCGTCTCCTCTCCTGTCTGGTTCTGCAGCTGACCCTTCAGGATCCGAGCCGCCGTGTAGGTGGTGATCCCCATACCTGACACACACACACACACACACACACACACACACACACACACACACACACACACACACACACACACACACACACACACACACACACACACACACACACACACACACACACACACACACACACACACACACACACACTTTCTGTTAACCTTCTTATTGTGTTTGTCTTTACCTTTCTATATCAATCTTTATTTATTTATATAGCACATTTAAAATAACCTCAAGTGCCTTACAGGGAACTAAATAAACACAACATAATAACACAGTTCTATGTGTGTTGTGTAACGTACCGTCTCCGAGGAAGAACAGGATGTTTTTGGCCACGTTGGTGTTCAGCTTCCTGTCCAGAACCGACTGTAAAGTGACCCGAGCCTGAGACCTCCAGAACTCCGGGTTCTCCTCCTGAACTGGATCACAAATAATATAGTTTTAATGATGTTAAATATATATTAAACAGGGGGAAGAAACTGTGTTTAGTTATCATGCTGCAGAAATCATTTCTCTTTGCCGCTGGCTTTTATTAAATCAGATGTATATCTTCTTATAATAACTGTATTTAAGTGGGTTTTTTCAAATGTTTTTTCCATGTCTTTTTACGCTATACACAGGGGTGCAGGTACGCATGCGCGGCAACAATCCGAAATGCGTACTGTCTCTTGTGTCACAAAGCGCATTTGTTTACCGACGTACTTGTGAAGCTTTTCCAGAAGGCGGTTAGATCACCGGACGACAGAGTCGGTCTCCGTGTGCACAGAGGGCTGCTGTTAACGTCGGTCTGTACAACGGAATTGTGCCAAAACTATGCCAACCAGCTGCAGAGGGAGACTCCCCCCCTTCACTGGAGAACTGCGCTAAAACAGCTGATCACAACGGTCTCGCGCTGTGGTCACGGAGTACTCCACTAGCCCCCCTCCCGTCGACTTTCCTGAAGTACTCCACTAGCACCCCCCCAAAACTATAGGTTACTTACGTAACCCCAGTTCTCAGAGTAACATGAAGTGAGATGTCTCACTATGGGATGCGCCTCATCGCGGAGCAAACAGAAGCATCAATCTCATTACGCCAATCCTGATTGGCTGGTGATCTTGACGTCAGCGTCAGGGAATTCACCCCCTATAAGTAGCTTGCGCCACGACGCATGCGCCATTCAAAATAAGCACCTCTTCTCGCTTCACCATAGCAAGGAGGGCCGTCTGGTGAGACATCTCACTTCATGTTACTCTGAGAACTGGGGTTACGTAAGTAACCTATAGTTCTCATTCATAACACTCCGTTCGATGTCTCACTATGGGAAATTGTAGCTCCCGTATTGTCAGACGAGCTTATCTCGAAAATCACCAAACCAACCAGAACTTAACAGGTAGAGCTCTGACTCAACCAGGTGCCCAGCACTGCTTGAGTCACACTGGGAGCAGAACGTCCAGCCTGTTAAGAGGCGGACAAAAGTGAGCGGCGAGGAACAGCTAGCCGCTGCACCAATGTCTTGGATGGGAGACATCCTGGACAGAGTCCAGAATGCAGCCAGACCCTGAGTCGAAAGAGCTCGCGGACCCGAGGGTGCCTGCGAACTCTGACTCGTATGACCCCCAAAGCAATTGCTTCCACAAACCAGTGGGAGAGCCGTTGCTTAGTAACAGGCTTGCCCTTATAAGGGTTAGCCCAGGACACAAGGGGTTGGTCATTATGACAAAGCACCCTTGATCTGTCCCTGTACGTGCGTAAAGCACGGGCTGGACACGGCAAAATCTGGCCGCTGTTCCCCGGAGGAATACAGTGGCGGGGAGGATGCCTCAATGTCAAATGTGGTACCTGAACCAACCGCCTTAAGATAAAGGCAGGGTTGGGCTTCAACCACACTCTGTTTACCCTGGAGCGAACTGAGTGCATGAAGACTGTACAGATAGTGCATGAGTGCCACTGGCTCGCTTGGCAGCTGCCAGGGTCAGCTTCATGTCACACTGTATTCAGATTGTACCACTCACGGGCCAGGCCCATAGAGCCAAGCGCTCTGGGTGTGGGTGAAAGATCGCCCCCCCCGCTTGGGACAGTATGTCCCTGCGTAGTGGGAGCTGCCATGGCTGCCCGCACAGCAGCTGATATATCTCCGCTAGCCAGTACATAGCTGGCCAGTGCGGAGCTATCAGGATAAGTGTGTGGCGTTGCTCTCTCACTCTGGCCAGAGTTGGGGGTATCAGAGCCAGGGGTGGGAACGCGTACAGAAGGCCCGGGGGCCAATTGTGCGCGAGTGCATCCACGCCTAACGGTGCATTTAGATCGCGCATCGAAAAGAACAGCTGACACTGAGCGTTGTCTTTCGATGCGAACAGATCCACCGCGGCTCTGCCGTAACGCACCACAGCTGGCTCACAATCCTTGGATGTAGAGTCCAGTCTGCATAAAGTGGTATACCTCTGGACAGTAGATCTGCCCCGAGACGTCTCCTCAGAGAGAGGAGACGTCTACCGCTCCATAGGATCAGTTTGCGCGTCAGTGTGTGTAACTGGAGAGAACGCAAACCCCCTTGGCGGTTATATACGATATTGTGGTCGTATTGTCTGTCCTCACAAGGACGTGAGTCCCCTGAGGAAAGGCAGAAGCGTTTTAGGGTGAAAAACACCGCTAAAAGCTCCAGGTAATTTATGTGCGCCCGCTGGAGGTCTCTGCTCCAGAGACCCCTCACCGGGCGACCTTCATAAATACCTCCCCAACCTGTCAGACATGCGTCCGTGGTGACCACTTTCCGTGAAAGGACAGCACCCATAGGCACACCTCATACCAGAAAAGTCGGGTGCAGCCAGTGGCGCAGTGCCATTACGCACGGGGTTTAGTTTTAGGGCGGCCACCCAGCGCTGAAACTCCCTCATGCGTCCCAGTCATACGACCAGGATGGCTGACGCCATGAGCCCCAGCAATCGCAGGCATGATCTGAAGAGAACATGTTTGCGCAGCTGGAAAAGAGCGAGACAAGCTCTGAAAGCTTTCACTCTATCCGCTGACAAGCGAGCTGAAAAGGGCACCGAGTTCAGGTGTAAACCCAGGAAGAGTATAGTCTGCGCGGGGCACAACATGCTCTTCTCTGTGTTTATTATGAA